TGAGCTACCGAGGCACACGTCGAAGTAACTGGAAGTGCTGAGAGACCGTCTAGTTACAACTCTGCATCGCATCACCGAAGAATCGAATGGACTGCACCTCGGGTGGGGCTCGAACCCACCGCCATGGACTTAAGAGACACGCGCTCTGTCGACTGAGCTACCGAGGCACACATTAAAACCACTGGAAGCGCCGAGAGACCGTCTACACCATTTCAAGACCTACTTAGTAAAACCCCAGAGCAAATTAGTAAAACCCCAGAGCAAATTAGTAAAACCCCAGAGCAATTTGCAGTCTGATTTTCCAGCGTCGATGCTGGGATGATTGGGTCTCCGCCTGTGTTTACAGCCGCATATTCGAATCCTATGAAAGGCAGCTGGTCGTCAGGTGTTGTCTCAGCAGCGTTTGACCAGCCGGGGAACTCAGAACCAGTTCCGCTCATCTCCGCTTCTCTCGGAGAGATGAACTCTGGGGGAGTTTTGATACCAGTATTCGACAGATTACACCTAATATAGCGTGACAATAACCATGCGAGTCTAACCGTGTAGACGAGCTTCCCCAGGTTGGTTGTAGGGACCGTCATTCTCTCCGCTGAACTATGCAGCGTTTCACATCTCGCTGTACCCCTGCTTGACCGGAATTCTGATAACTCGCAGTCGGTTGATCGATATCTGGTCTTCTTGAGGATCACGTATGGAGATCGATCATCGTCCAAGCAATGATTGAGAATATTGATGCATTGCTGTTGAGAGCATCTGAGGAAGCCCGAGATTATCATGGAATATCCGATATCCCCTGGAGTTAAGGCTTGTAGTTGCTCGTCGGCATATCCAGATGATCGGAGCAATGACAAGGACGTCTCGTCATTCTGTGGATGAGTCTTGATCACAGCTAGGAACCTATGAAGCCGGACCAGGAAAGAGCTAGCAACGAAGAGTCTCATTCAAAGCTAGCAACTTTAAGCTACCCCTTCACGGTCTCTGGTCCCCCAGAGATCGAAGTGCGCACGTATTTTCCCAACTCGCTCTTCGTAGGCTGCGGTGGCAGGCCGGCCGAGACCCGGGCTCGACGGAGTAGCTCCAGATCTCGGGGGCATTGCTCGTACAGACCATCTGCGACGTGCCTTATCAGCAAGGCTGCCTTGCCAAGGCACGTCGGGGATGAGACGGATCTATCAGCCTCGACAGCCTCATCAAGAGGTGCGTCCCGTCAATGGACCCGTATATGGAGTCCGCACGAGCAACTCTTGGTCCCTCCTTTGAAGAAATCTTCAACAGGCTTACAAAGATAAGGAGCAATCACAGATCCCTTATACGGAACAATCATACACCCCTTGCAACTGGCGCCTCTCAGCCGTTCCGGAACGCGGAGCTTGACCTCGTTTCGAGAGCCTATGGTTCTGTGCGAGCGTTTGAAAGATCAAGGTCCGAGCACGAGCAGCGCAGGATAATAAAAGACCTCCTGAGCTACCGATACACACATTACGATAGCTAGAAGCGCTGTGACCCATTACCCTAGTAGCAAGATGTCCATACTTCAAGGAGCCCAGACATAGCTACGCGTTTCGTGGTGCTCGGTCCGAGCAGCTCGGATGTGGAAGTGCAGGCTCGATCTGGCGGCAGCGCGGCCCACGGACCGTGGGCCACGGTCGAATGAGCCGCGGCGGACATACCATCGCCTGAGCGGAGACGAGAAGATCTCGGACCGGAGATCTCATCGAGTGGTGATCTATCATCCGTTGATTTCTCCATCAGCAGCGTAATGACGGCTCCATCCTCACACTTTGGTAAGAAGTTAGATCTTTGGTCGCAGAGAGATACTGGATGTCCAAGTAACTTCTGTTAGCAGAATTTACGCGAGCAAAGGTTCCTAGCTCTAGCGATCATCGATAGTACAGGAACACGCAGGCCCTGCGCCGCAGGAACAGCTACATGACGTTTTTCGCACAACAACTTGACTACACGGTTATTTTTTATATTCTCAGCAGAGGCATCGTGAGAGCTCAGGTACCGCTGACCGCGTCCCAGGGAGTTTACTGACTATCGACGCAACTAATCTCTTTGAAGCTTGAAATAAGTAATGAAGATTACTTCATACTTTGGTATCAGCACCTTGCCGACGTGAACTCAGCTGAGAGGTAACTCGCCCGGAACCTCCGACCGGGTATCATTTGATTACCAATGTAATACCGATTATATGATAGTGAGTTTAATCACTACGAAGTTCTTGCACTGCATTATAGAGCCCAAGCGTCAATTAAACGACCATTGGCCTAGGGCGTGCACTTCGCGACCAGTCAGGTCGTGGCGGGATAGTAATCTCAGACAGACGCCAGTCTCTAAAGTTCTGTGACTTCGTGTGCGATGATCGACGCAACGTGGGCGCGTAGAAACCGCGGGTGTGGTAGAAACGCCGCCTGAAAAATGAAGAAGGTAGGGCTGCAATACCATGTGGAGCGGGAATGGCCAGGGTTCAAAACCACCTATGACAGGGTGACCCGAGGAGAGCGCCCCTCACTCACAGGAAGAAACATGCAACTCCGATGATAATCACCACTAGAATGATTGCGATAAGAAACCATCCGTTCCCGCTCGAGTCGTTGTCGCTAGAGGCCATCTCTCCCTGATGTAGAAGCCTCGACTCAGAATGAATGGATATGTCGAACAGCAGCAGTGCTTACCATCCCACCATCCCCTCCAAGAATCGACGATATGAGGGCACTGCAAGGACTGAGGAACACCACACATCGACCGATGCCCCTATCAGCGACCCTACTCGGAGCCGACAGTTTTCCAACCGTCATGGCACACGCACAACTGCTCAACAGAGGACCAAGCACCGTGCTCACCACAAGTGCTGATACCTGAGAAGCAAATTCAGCAGGATCCGACCAAACCTACTACAACGATTACTGGGAGCAACCGTTGAAGCTCCAACTCTGGGATCTCCATCCTCTTCTAATGCCGGTGTGTCGTCAATGGGACTAACACCGCCATAGGTTGATTCAGAGCTACCAGCGCTCGTAGTGGTGATAGCGCTGCTGGGCGTGACGGAGTCTGCCGTTGTGACAAGAGCCGGAGTCGTTTCGGCAGTCGTAGCGGGCGATGATGTCCTTAAAGCAGACGCTGTCGCTGAGGGAGATGGACATGAGCATTTGGTGGAAGTCCTGGTGGTCGACGTGCCAGCCGGTGTTGCAGCAGCAGACGTAACCAAGGCGGTAGGTGTTGTGGGCGGAACGGCTACTGCAGTACTGGTCGATACCCACGTGGAAGTCTCATTGGGTGCCGTATCAGTTGAGGTAGAGGACGCCATCGTGGTGGCAGTAATAGTCGTAGTTGTAGTAGTCGTGGTGGTTGTGGTTGTTGTGGTTTTTGTGGTTTTTGTGGTTGCGGTAGTTGTGATTGTTGTGTTGGCTGTGGTGGGGGTTGACGTAGTATCAGTCCGATACTTCAACTTCATCCACTCTTCAAGAGACACTTGACGTGGGGCAATAAATACGGACTTGTCCGGCGGACAGGCCCTGAGAAACGGGAATAGTATAGTGTCACTCGTGAGGACTTGAGCTATAACGACAATTTGTGAGAACATTCCGGTGAGGCTGTGTTTTACCTCACTCTCAAAGACGTGTCATAGGGAGACCATCTATCAAGCTCAGGATGGCAATAACAAGTTTGATACTTGACAGACCAACTGTAGGTACACCAGGGCGGTGGACTTTGGTAGGGGTACCCTAAAAAGAACGTGGACTTGCAAAAACATCATGAGCAGCACTCGGCAGATACAATTGCTCGGTGAAGCGAAGATCCTGTCATACATCGAGGAGCATGGAAGTCGAAGCCTTCAACAGGACAGTCTGGGTCTAGGGAGGGGCCATGAGGGGGCAACAAGACCCACTTGGGTGTCTTCTCGTAGCATCTGTGGAAGGAAGAGAATCAAACGGATGATCCAGCAACGCCTCAAGGTTAGCGTAACCTACAACCAATCGCGGTTTTTCCGCCCGTGATCGTTTCCCTCATCGTTCGGATCGAGAATGCAATCTGAAATACCCGGATGAAATTGAGCACTGCGGAGAAAGAGCTCTTACTGTAATCCGCCGGAGAGTCCTTGTACTCCCAGTCGTCTTGCTGCTTCTCGTGCAAACGGACACACAACCTGAAAGCGTACGCTCTTTCTCATCGGGCCCCCTACCGGCACTGCGGGCTACTGGGCCAAGCTGCCGACCCTGGAGAGAAGACAGGATACAGTGTAACCTACTCTTTGATCTCCTGCTTCCTCGCACCGTAAACTACAGCGTCTTTCCACTTTCCGAAACATTTAAACTTCCCAGGCTCCACGAGGTGGCCTCTACCGTTGGCATATACGTCCCAGTCGAAGTCTTTCAACGAAGCCTTGAACTCCGCATATACTGAAAGAAGCACACTGAGGGTCCAGACGAGCTGCCGCCGAAAGTCCTAGCAGGAACTCATCAAAGAGGAACATCTGTCTGACTTACTCTCGCGGAAAAACTTCCCCGGGTATACAGGGCCGTGTACAGTGTCTATCCAATTGGGAGCTATAGTCGGCTGGAGCAGAGCGGTGAATGCAGAGTATAATGTGAACCTCATTTGCTGGAAATGCACACCAATAACCCTGAAAATCGAAACGGGGCAGTCAGTCTGGTGACATGTTCTGGTTTGCTCTAATCGGAACAAAACGATAGAGAACTGTCTTGGCCGCACTAGCGTCGACGAAACGGCCAGGCGGTTTCAAAAGAATTTCGTTCTAGAATCTTCCTTCGAACGAGAAGCGTGGAACCGAATTGGAACGAATCAGAAACACCGTGACTCACCAGCACCGGCAATGACCAGCAAGTTGCTATCGAAGAATACACATTTCGTGCAGTTGTTCACAAAGGCCCCTCTACAGCTTCTTTCACGCCAGACCATATCAGCTAGACGCTTCAACTTGCGTCTGCGTGAGTTCAAGTTTAGCGCGGAGAACTGGCGTAATCAGATTAAGTGCTAACCTGAGCGATCACAATACTGACCGCGACGCTAAAAATCGAATCTTCTCACACCCCAGGTCTGGTACTAGTACTTCTACAACACGGCACATAGCAATAGCGTCACGAGTCAAACAACGGCTTCATGCATGTGTCGACTTCCTTCCGCGTCATCTCTTGGTCAAAGC